TGTATCGGGATCAGGGGACGGAGTATCAAAAGTATCCAGGCCAACATTTACAGTCATAACTCTAAGGCATTCCTTGTTCGGATTCTGGTGAAGTCACTTAACGAGAATCCCTTTCAGCCAAATTTTTATTTGAAATGAAAGGCAAGAAATAATTAATGTGCTCTTTAACACTCAGCTTTTCACCTCGCATGTGAAAGAAAGCTGTTTTTCCCCAGAACACAGTCGTCACGCAGAACTACAAGTTGCGCTGATCATAATGAATCGAATGTGCCGATCAACTTGGCCTCCCTTTGGATTCCGGATTGCAATAGTAGCCAGAATGGGCTACACCTTAGAACTTGCTACATCAGCAACACCAGCATACCTTCAATTCGAGTAGTTTGAGTTCAAGGTTGGGATACTTAATAGGGGGCCACATATTCCTGACATTACTGAATTGCAAATGTTGTATGACTCCGAAAAAAGACAGACTTTTTCCCAACGTAACTATTGCGAAAAGGATGGGTCTCTAAGCTTGGAGTCTTTGTATGCAGTAATAACTGGTAGATTAGACTGAGTTGTAAGTTCTTATGCCAGAAAATCCTGATACATGTTTAGAAGATAAGGAGGACTGTATAAAGACGGCCAAGATTAATCATCGTAATGCGGACAGGTAACTAACCAAATTCCCTAATATTACATCATTCAGACATTTCTAAGCTCGTTAGAGTGAAGCAAACAGACTTAGCGCCGCCACAACGGGCGGCGATTGCACAAGTTTTTATTAGCCCTCAAAAAAGGTGGCACACTCGATCTGTGAACCAAATTTCAAGTCGACAAAGTCTACCACAACTGACGATCATGACAGGTTGCTTGTCGAGACCCGAGGGAAACCCACTTCAGCAAATAGCATTTGTGAACGACATGGAGCTGAGCTGCTGGACGAAAAATGCCGCTAGAGTTAAGTCATTTAGGTTGGATTTTAAAAGTCTTGCGCAATATACACGACAGGGGATGTTATCTAGTCCTCCAAGTGAATAACTTAATAGTTCCGAAAATAAATTTATCTAAAATATTCAGAATCAAGCGAAATTACTGCATATATTCCAATATAACCTCATCACATGAATATTTATGCAATTTTCGGATTCGGTGTGCTCTCCATTTTCCTTACATGCGACGGTCGGCTTGTCGACCAAGCTCGATGTCACAGGCTAAACTTAACTTATTAAATGTATTCTGCCTATTTCCTTTAAGTTAATAATGAGTAGGCCTTACATAATCTTGCTTTCCAAGACGGTATTATCATCCCGGATGGAGTATAGTTTCAAACTCGCTTAGGACTTATCAGCAGCTCCAACGGCACTCGAACCATGACATTGCGGCGTGTAATCTCGACACGTTGACTACTACATCACATTACCACAATCTACAGATGTGAATTTCAAGGAAGGTAAGACATTTTCTTATATCACTTTCTGTGGTGGGAATGTCGATGAATCAAAGTAGCATTTGTGATCGCAATCCACTATGCTACTGATAGTCTCGAAAACCTACTAATACACGAAATATAAACGTAACTCTGTCGTCAGAACGACCTAGTTGGATGAACCTTGTCCAACGTCCTTTGCCGTAGTAATTATCATAATTCCCAGACGTTTCGCACCCTTTGCATAGTATCCATGATGGTTTCCAGCCGCAGACCGTAGACTAGTTACATTACAAGACATCGTGGTCTTCACATCTACGATTCACCAATTAAGTTTGAAACTATAAGTAGATAGATGTTAGAGAGATGAATAGTAAGTTTTGCTAGGTTAGGAGTGAGATAGGAGGATAGGGTGTAGGTATATGTGCCAGGTAAAAAAGGACAGTGATCGAATAACCATTAGCAGAAGGCTGGTCAAGGGATTGACTTCATTTGTCTCTTTGACGCGTTGTGGTTTGGTGCTGAGACGGGTAAGACTAACTGACAAACAGCGAAGCGCCTGGGAGTACGCAAAGGCTGGGACTTATGATAGCTACCAAAGCAGAGGACTTCGGACAAGATGTGACCAATTAAGTCGCCCTGGCAACACAATCAAGTTGTGAACACGAGGTCAGAACAATTCTAAGCATGGACAGGAGATAGCAACCAAAATCTTGGTTCTTATATCTATGGTTAGACGTAACTCTGTCCTCAATGAAGTCGAGGTAATTCGGTTACTATTGTCACTTAATGGAGTGACGGATGCGAACAAGTTGTCACTTTTGCACGAGAAGTGTGAATGATGGTAAGGCTGAAGTTGCTTAGAAGGCATTTTGTTAAAAAGCTATTTTCAATCAATTCGTCTATCTTACTATCAGAAAGTGAGTAGTCTGACCTGCAACATGTTAAAAAGCTGTTTGGACAACTTTCCAGGCCAGCCTCGATCGCCCGGCTGGCCCGATCGTGCCGGCCATCTCGGCCAGGAGTGCTCCGGGGCTGGGACGTCCTGGCCGACGGACTGTCGGCACCGACGCCGACA